ATCCAACTCACTACTGACTGAGCTATTCTACTTTCCTATCAGACGACAATCCAACTCACTACTGACTGAGCTATTCCACTGTCCTAGCAGACAACAATCCAACTCACTACTGACTGAGCTATTCCACTGTCCTAGCAGACGACAATCCAACTCACTACTGACTGAGTTATTCCACTGTCCTAGCAGACGACAATCCAACTCGCTATTGACTGAGCTATTCCACTGTCCTAGCAGACGACAATCCAACTCACTACTGACTGAGCTATTCCACTGTCCTAGCAGACGACAATCCAACTCGCTACTGACTGAGCTATTCCACTGTCCTAGCAGACGACAATCCAACTCGCTATTGACTGAGCTATTCCACTGTCCTAGCAGACGACAATCCAACTCACTACGACTGAGCTATTCCACTGTCCTAGCAGACGACAATCCAACTCGCTATTGACTGAGCTATTCCACTGTCCTAGCAGACGACAATCCAACTCGCTACTGACTGAGTTATTCCACTGTCCTAGCAGACGACAATCTAACTCATTACTGACTGAGCAATTCCACTGTCCTAGCAGACGACAAACCAACTCGCTACTGACTGAGTTATTCCATTGTCCTAGCAGACGACAATCTAAATCATTACTGACTGAGCAATTCCACTGTCCTAGCAGACGACAATCCAACTCGCTACTGACTGAGTTATTCCACTGTCCTAGCAGACGACAATCTAACTCATTACTGACTGAGCAATTCCACTGTCTTAGCAGACGACAATCAAACTCACTACTGATTGAGCTATTCCACTGTCCTAGCAGACGACAATCCAACTCACTACTGACTGAGCTATTCCACTGTCCTAGCAGACTCCAACTCGCTAAGGAAACCAACTGAGGTATTCCAAGGCCATTTTGTATATAATATTTGTCAAATGCCTATTGCACATGTAAATGTTGTACTGATGTACGTAAATGTCGCACTATTTTGCACAATATCTTCTCACAAGTAAACTTAAGCCATCACAGATGTTACGTTTCACGATGTTGTTTTTTTCTATATCTTTAAATATGTTATTCGTGATCATTGAAAAAATGTTGTTTTATGTCTTAACCATTTGTCCCAAAATGTTTGGTTTGTCTTTGATGTATTGTCCCTTTCTGTTACCCCATTTTCACACTATATTGAAAACACAATTGGAAAAAAGATCTTTTGAGCACTAATTAACCACGGCTCTGAAAGTTGGAAGTTTTTCTATAGGAAAAAGATGTAGGATTATCCTAAAAAGCATTGAAAATTGGATACGCCGATAAAGTTTTACCAGCTCAAATTTACGTCACTTGAAGTGACATAGAAAAAGCGTCTAGTCTTTCGGATGGGACAATAAACCGAGGCCATGTGTGCTACAGGCTGTGCTCGTTAAAGATCCATCGACAGTTGGAAATCAAAAAAGAGCAGGCTAATGCCGCTGTCCTGGCAAAATTTCGCACATAGCAACCTGCATACTGTTGCCCGTCTTCATTAGCCCACATGGTGCAGAAAAGTAGGACGTAAAACTCCATTCATTTCATTTCCAATTCTCATAAAAATAACAGAAAAAATTCAAAAAACTTTCTTCGATGAGACAACAGTTTCTTCCTGAATCTAAAAATGTCCAAAAAATGTCACAAATTCAAATTCTCAGAAAAAAAATTCAAAAAAACATTTAAATTTCAACAATAAAAGACATTGTACTAAAAAAAATTTTTTTTCAATATTTTAGGCTTTGTTGATACCAAGATCCCCCGGAGCCTCAAATTTCGACGGTAAAATTGGAGCGACCAAGCCAATTCGTGATAAACGCTATCAACATTTAAATAGTGCAGTCCAAGCTCAGGAACAGAGAACAACACGAGGGCGAGAAGATAGTATCAATTCACGATATAGTGTAGACCCTGTCAAATTTTTAAGAGACAAGGGTGATTTTGACCAAGGTGAGTAGACTATTATTTTTAACTTGGGAGTCCAGGTAATTACTCCCCAACGAGTGTATTTTCGAAATTTTTGAGTTTGGATTGAATGTAGATTTTATTGCGTTCATTGGTTGATGGAGTAGCAGAAGATATAGAACTTGGTGTTATGAATTATTATTATAATTATTATTATTACAGTAG